CACTGGCTCCTAACCACTCACCTGCTTGCCTGCCTCGCGCCCAACTGCCCTCCCCTGCAGGCCTGGTCGCCCCCAACGGCGCCCTCCCCTGCCAGCCTGGTCGTCCCCATCTGGCCTCCCTTGCAGGCCAGTTCGCCCCCAACTGCCCTCCCCTGCCAGCCTGATCTCACCCCCAATGGCCTCTGCTTCAGCCCCCACCACCATGGCTTTGTCCGGAAGGAAGTTGGATGTCTGGAAGATGGCCGGATGACCTGGTCTAATTAGCATATTACCTTTTTATTAGTATAGATTCTCGGAGAGTTGAACTGAGTCAAGTTCCAAATGCCAAAACGGTAAAAATGCAATCAATCCAGATGTTTTCCCATCAGTGGGTTCTAAGATGAATCTCCTCCTTGGGCAAAAGTCAGCAGCCCTGGAATGTTGTATACAATCCCAGCAATTTCTCCAAATCACCAAGTGCCTTTTTTTTCTGGCTACCTGGGACTCCCAGCACTTCGGCCCCTGCGTTTGGCAGCTGGCAGAATGAATGAACAGGGCCACCCCTCCCAGCGGAGCACGTGATCGGCCACAGCTGTGCGTGTTTTTTAGCATGACGGCACCAGGACAGGGCTCTGAGCCACTGGGTGGAGCAGTTCGCCCTGGGGAGAAAGCTTGTGACATTTCCCTTATGATTTAAAAAAAGAAAAGAGGAAAAAAAAAACACCTCTCTTCCTTATGAGTTGTTCTGCTCAAGGTCAGTAGAGAATGTTGCCCCAGCCCTGGCCGGTGTGGCTCAGTGGATAGAGCGTCGGCCTGCGGACTGAAGGGTCCCAGGTTCGATTCCGGTCAAGGGCATGTACCTTGGCTGCGGACACATCCCCAGTGTGGGGTGTGCAGGAGGCGGCTGATGGATGTTTCTCCCTCATTGATGTTTCAAATTCTCTATCCCGCTCCCTTCCTCTCTGTAAAAAAAAATATATATATATGTATTTTAAAGGAAGAAAATGTCATAGTGTGTGCACATATAGATGAATGCGTGAATACGTACAATATCAGCCACCGCTACAGGGAGAGACGTGAAGCTGCAATTTTTCCAGAGAGCAAAGGTGAGGCCGACATTGCCCGCTGGTTGCCGTCACCATCCACTTCCTCTCGTCCCTGGATAACAGAACCCCAATTTTATTTGGGGTGCAGGTGCATCCAGCGCGAAGACGGCTCCCCAGCCCACCTCGAGGGCCAGGCTCCAGCCGCCGGGATGTAAACACAGTGGCGGTGGAATGTCCGCGCAGGCTGCTTGACGCAAGCTGATTCCACGGGAAGGTTTGTTCCTTTCGGCCTTCCTCCCCCTCCCTCTGCATGGCTGTCTGCTTGAGGGCTGGAGCGCCGGTGGCCACGGTGGACCTTGAGGTGACCTTGAGGACGGGAGCCACAGGCCAGTGCGACGGAGCAGGACAGAGGGACTGGGAGCCGCAATACCAGCCCGAGAGGCGTGGTTTCCAACTGCTTTTCTATGAAAGAAAAACCCAGCGATAACAACAAAGCCCTCTCTCTCTCCTAAAGCACTTTGAAACCATTTAATTTTGTTATGTACAACCTATTCCAAGCAAGGCGGCTCCTTTGCTAGGGCTGCCGTAACGAAGCACCACAGCCCTGGCCGGCTTGGCTTAGTCCAGCGGTTCTCAACCTTCCAAATGCCGCGACCCTTTAATACGGTTCCTCATGTTGTGGGGACCCCCAGCCATGAAATTATTTTCGTTGCTGCTTCATCGCTGTCATGTTGCTCCTGTTATGAATCGTCATGTAAATACCTGATATGCAGGATGTATTTTCATTGTTACAAATTGAACATCAAGTATAGTGATTAATCACAAAAAACAATATGTAATTATATATGTGTTTTCCGATGGTCTTAGGCGACGCGACCCCTGTGAAAGGGTCGTTCGACCCCCAGGTTGAGAACCACTGGCTCAGTGGATAGAGCTTTGGCCTGTGGACTGAAGGGTCCCAGGTTCGATTCCCATCAAGGGTACAGGCCTGGGGTTGCAGGCTCCATCCCCAGTGTGGGGCGTGGAGGAGGCAGCCAATCAATGATTCTCTCTCATCATTGATGTTTCTATCTCTTTCTCTCTCTCCCTCCTTAACTGAAATCAATAAAAACATATTGGAAAAAAAATAAACAATCCAATAAAAATTGGCAAAAGAATCCATGAAAATATGTTTCTGTAACTTGGAAGATCTCGGGTTATTTCAATGCAACACTTAAAAAAAAAAAAATATGACAGACTTAAGAATGTTAACATAAAAAAAACCATTGAAACCTGAAGAATTTCTGTGAGTTTATTTGAGCCAAACTGTCGACAGTTGCCGGGAAGCAGAACCTCAGCGGATTGGGATAAAGCTCCGGAGAATGGGGGTTCCATCTGTGTTTATGCGTTGCAATCAAAGGAGGGACGTAGGTGGGTGACATGAGATCCATTGGGGATGGAGGAGGGAGGCGGGAGCAAGCAAAGCGGGAACCCCTGGGATTGGATAAAAGGTAAAATGATGGACACACGCTTAGGTGGGAGCAGGGACAATGAACATGACAATGAGGGATCTGTGGTCTCTGTCCTGCGCCCAGCGCATTAGGCTCTGCCCCGGGGGGTCCGGAAAAAGGGATGTTACCAGGCACCCAGACACTTCAGGGTGTGTTACCACAGAGGCAAAAAGACAGACAGGCTCCGTGAAGGCACAGGCTGCCCTTGTCAGGGAAGACACCGGCCTAGGAGGTGACCCCACCACCACTGCTTCTAGTTCAAGTTTAACGTCAGACCCTCCTGTGTGGTGACCTGAGGTCTCTGAGTCTGCAAGGCCACCAGCTGGCCCCCCATGAGCTGTCGGGTCAGCACGTGGCCCCTTTCGTCCACGAGCCACAAAATGTGCTTCCTGGCTGTCCTGGGGGCCAGAAGCTCCGGATCAAGGTGTGGGCGGGGCTGGCTTCTTCTCAGACCTTGCTCCTGGGCCTGTCGGGCGATGGCGGTCTCCTCCCTGTGTCTTCACGTGTCTCCCCATCCATGACAACAGCCAATCTCCTCTTCTTATGAAGGCGCTGGTCCTGTCCGACTGGCATGGCTCCGTGGTTGGGTGCCAACCTGGGTCACTGTCGATTCCCGGTCAAGGGCACATGCCTGGATTGGGGGCTGGATCCCAAGTAGGGGGGGAGGAGGAGGCAGCCGATCCATGATTCTCTCTCCTCATTGATGTTTCTCTCTCTCTCTCCCAGCTCTAAAATCAAAATATATTTAAAATATATATTTTAAAAATATATGTATTTTTTTAAAAAGACACTTGTTGCCCTAGCTGGTTTGGCTCAGTGGCTAGAGCGCCGGCCTGCGGACTGAAGGGTCCCGGGTTCGAATCCCACTCCAGGGCACCTGCCCGGATTGCGGGTTCGATCCCCAGTAGGGGGGCGTGCAGGCGGCAGCCGATCCATGATTCTCTCTCACATCAATGTTTCTCTTTCTCCCTCTCCCTTCCTGTCTGAAATCAATTAAAAAAATATATTTTAAAAAAATTTGCAAGAAAGCAGTAAGGCCTGCCATTTAAAAACTCGAATTTCAAAGCGCCTGGGACCGGCACCTTTTTTAAGAAACAAAAAGTGAATGATTCAGCCTCGAAAACGATGCGTCAGTCCGAGTCCACGTGAGAAGAAACACTGCAGTGATAAAATTGAAAAGTAAAAAAAAAAAAAAATTAAAAAACGCCCTTCCGAGTTCCAGAGCTGACAGGCCTCTCTTGAGAGCAGGGGCCATGGAATCCTCTAGAAGTAATTTTTTGGGTCATGTTAAAGCTTTTTCGATCCCGAGAGCTGACGGGAGTATTTGAGAGCAGGTGGCATGGGATCCTCTGTGAGTCATTTTTGGGGTTTGGGGGTTACATTATTTTTTTAAAATATATTTATATTTCAAAGAGGAATGGAGAGGGAGGGAGAAACATCGTCGCTGAGAATCATGGATCGGCTGCCTCCTGCACGCCCCCTACTGGCGATCGACCCAGGCACGTGCGGCTGCCAGGAACCGAACCGGGACCCTTGGGTCCGCAGACGGACGCCCTACCCACTGAGCAACACTGGCCTGCGCTGGGGGGTTATTTTAAAGCTTTTTGGAGCCCGAGAGGCGACAGGAATACCTGGGAGCTGGGGGCATGGAATCCTCTAGAAGTCATTTTTGGGGGTTAGGGATTATTTCATTATTTTTAAAAAATATATTTTAATGGATTTCAGAGAGGAAGGGAGAGGGAGAGAATCTCGGATCGCCGCCTCCTGCACGCCCCCTAGTGGGGATGGAGCCCGCGACCCGGGCATGTGCCCTGACCGGGAATCGAACCGGGACCCTTAGGTGCGAAGGCCGGCGCCCTACCCATTGAGCCACACCGGCCGGGGCTGGGAGGTTATGTTAAAGCTTTTTGGAGCCCGAGAGGCAACGGGAATCTCCGAGAGCCGGTGGGACCGAGCCCCCTCGGCCAGGACCCTCTGGGGAAGCCGCTCAGAGTCAGAAAACCTCTCCGGGGCGACGGCCGGAGGCCGAGGCGGCGCCCACTCACCTCGCGGGCGGGACGCGCGGCCTCGCGAGGCGCTGCGAGGACTCCCCGAGGCCCCGAGGGAGCTCTGGGCCCGGGGCCTCGCGCTGGAGGGGGAACGGCCGTCCTCTGGCGGAAAACGGCGGGAGCGCAGGCTGGGGCCGCCCCTCCGCCCCGCGCGCGCCGCAGCCGGTATAGGGGAGGGACCTCGGGGCGGAAAAGATGGTGGAGGGGCGGGCTTCCGGCGCGGACGGGGCGGGGCCTGATAGGTCAGCGCGCCTCGGGGGGGCGGGGCCGCGAAGAGGCGTGGCGGGAGGCAGGCGCACGTCCGGCTTCCGGAAAGGGGCGTTCGGGGGCGGGGCCGGCGGTCGGGGCAGGTCCGGCTTCCGGAAAGGGGCGTTCGGGGGCGGGGCCGACGGCTCGGGGAAGATCTGGCTTCCGGAAAGGGGCGTTCGGGGGCGGGGCCGGCGGCTCGCGCAGGCGTGGTGCGGCGGCGGCAGCGGCGAGGATGGCGGCCTCCAGGTGGCTCCGCGCGGCCGTCGTCCTGCTCTGTGCCTCCGACCTGCTGCTGGTGCTGCCGCCCGGGGCCCGCGCGGCCGAGGGCCCGGCCGGGAAGCCCGGCGAGGCGGCCCCGCCGCCGCCGAAGAAGAAGAAGAAGGACATTCGCGATTACAATGATGCGGACATGGCGCGTCTTCTGGAGCAGTGGGAGGTCCGTCTCTGGCCCCGCACCCCCTCCCTGACCTCGCACCCCCTCCGTGTTGCTGCCTTCCGATCCTCTCCCCTCTTCTCTCCCCGCGCCCCGAGTCCTTACTCACCTGCGCGAGCCGCCGCCGACCCCCGGGCCTGCCCCGACCCCGGCGCCCCGGGCCCACGCCGCCATCCCTGTGGCCTCCACCCGCTTTTCGGGGACCTCGCCTGTCGGGGGTCGGCCTCTCGCCCGGAGCCGTCATTTCCCCCCCGTGCCCGGGCGCCCAGCCCCCCTTCCTCCTGCGCGGCTCCCGCTGGTCGGTGAGCCCTGCAAATGGCAGGGAGGCCTTTTGCACCGTATCCCCGAAGAATGGGGCGGGGCGTGAGGACGGTGGGCAAGATTACGTTGCTGTTTTTAATATATTTTTATTGATTTCAGGGAGGGAGGGAGAGAGACATGGATCTGCCGCCTCCTGCACGCCCCGCACTGGGGATCCCGCCTGCAACCCCGTGACCTCCTGGTTCATAGGTCAACGCTCAGCTGCTGAGCCCCGCGGGGTGGGGAGGGTTTGCAAACTTCCCCTTTGGGGTGCATTTCCGTGCTGGGAGTGTTGTCACTTTAGGGGTCACCTGGGCAGTAATCCAAGGCTAGTTGCGCGCTCTCTCTCATGGGAGCCTTTTTTTTTTCATTTAAAGGAGCAGTGAGTTCTTTTTGTGCGAGTGAGCTTTCTGAGTGCACCGGAGTGTGTAATTACAGGGCGTTTGTAGTAAGCTTTTTACATATACACACACATACACACACAGTAGAGCAGGGGTCCTCAAACTTTTTAAACAGGGGGCCAGTTCACTGTCCCTCAGACCGTGGGAGGGCCGGACTATAGTTTAAAAAAAAAAAATTTGAACAAATTCCTATGCACACTGCACATATCTTATTTTGAAGTAAAAAAACAAAAACAAAACGGGAACAAATACAATATTTGTATTTGCATGTGGCCCACGGGCCGTAGTTTGAGGACCCCTGGCCTAGAGGCTCGGTGCACGAATTCGTGCACAGTTGGGGTCCCTTGGCCTGACCGGCGATTGGGGCCCATCAGGGCAGTATCACCCAGTCCCTATCGAGGCAACTGGGGCTGCCCGCCAGGGGGAGGGACTGCAGGAGGTTGGCTGTGGGAGTGCACTGACCATCAGGGCACAGCTCCTGCATTGAGCGTCTGCCCCCTGGTGATCAGTGTGCGTCATAGTGACTGGTCCTTTGGTTGTATTATTGATTTCAGAAAGGGAGGGAGGGAGAGAGAAACATCCATGATGAGAGAGAATCATGGATCGGCTGCCTCCTGCACGTCCCACACTGGGGATCGAGCCCGCAGCCCGGGCCTGTGCCCTTGACTGGGAATCGAACCCGGGACCCTTCAGTTTGCAGGCCGACGCTCTACCCACTGAGCCACACCGGCCGGGGCTGTAATAAGCTTTTTAGATGAAGTTCTCCGGCCAAGAATTCGTCGCGACCTCTTTCCCTTCCGAAGGTGGTTGGATTGTCCTGGTTGACTCAGAGTCAGCACCCAGGGTTCCCTTCGTGTGTCACCTCGGGCAAGTCAGGTCTCCGCTCCAGGCCCACGTTCCGTATCTCCAAGATGAGGTTTTACTGGCGGGTTCCTGCCAACGCTTAATGCTTCGTGATGTTGTGGTTACCTCTGTGTGTGTGTGTGTTTGATAGAGGCGTTTGGTCATGAGTGTGAAATGCCATCTGCTGCCCGGGGCTAGCAGAAAGCAGACTGTGTGTTCATGTGGCTGTGCAGCTGGTGGGGAGGTGGGGGTGGAGTCGGGGGTGCAGGGACCATGAACGAAGAGAGAGGTGATGTCACGCTCCCTTCCCCGTTCGCCATCGCCCTCACCATCCTCCCCCCTCTCTGTGTGCTCCTGCAAGTGAAGTGCTTTTGTATGTGTGTGTGTTTTTAAATATATATTTTTATTGATTTCAGAGAGGAAGGGGGAGGGAGGGAGAGGAACATCAATGATGAGACACAATCACGGATCGGCTGCCTCCTGCACGCCCCGCACTGGGGATCAAGCTCACAACCCAGGCATGTGCCCTGACTGGGAATCGAATCTCGGACCCTTTAGTCCGCAGGTTGATGCTCTGTCCACTGAGCCACACCAGCCAGGGCATCAAGTGAAGTTTCTGGTATGCCGAAGCAAGAACACTGTCTCGTTAGCAAATCCCACCCCGGAAATACTCGGCCTGAGCCAGACAGAAGGGGTGCCGCCCAGATGAACAGGGGGTCCGACCATTGGTGACAGGAGGCACCAATAAAAATAGCCGCAATGCAAAGCAGGAGTGGCCGAGCGCTATAAAAAGGAAGTGCGCCCGGCCGCGTGGCCCAGTGGTTAGTGTTGACCTAGGAACCAGGAGGTCACGGTTCGATTCCCGGTCGGGGCACAGGCCCGGGCTGCAGGCTCCATTCCCAGTGGGGGGCGTGCAGGAGGCGGCCGGTCCGTGATTCTCTCTCATCGTGGATGTGTCTCTCTCTCTCCCTCTGCCTTCCTCTCTCAGATCAATAAAAATACATTTTTTAAAAAAGAAAGTGCAGTGGGGCTCTCAGGGGTTTCGGGGAGGAAGTAGTTTAGAGAAGCGAGGGGAGTGGGGGAGGGCCTCCGACCGAGCAGCAGGAGCAGAGGAGGTGATGCGGGGAACTGGGCGGAAAGGACAGATACCAACGGCCGAGGCTCTGCGGGTAGCCCAGTGGTCGGCAAACTCATTCGCCACAGAGCCAAATGTCAACAGCACAATGACTGAAATTTCTTTTCGGAGCCAAATTTTTTAAACTGAAACTATATAGGCAGATACATTGTTATTCACTTAATTAGGGTCCTCCTAAGGCTTAGGAAGAGCCACACTCAAGGGGCCCAAGAGCCGCATGTGGCTCGCGAGCCGCAGTTTGCCGACCACGGGAGACCATCCGGGTTCCAACCTCTTGACCTGTGAGTGTGGACAGTCAGAGCCTCTTTGTCCTCGAGTTTCCTCTTCTGCAGGATGGAGATGTAACAGTATTCACCCGGTCGCTCTGAGAACCCACTGAGGGAACGTGGGCAACTCGGCCCCGGCGGGTGTGGCTCAGCGGTCGAGTGTCACGGTTCGATTCCCCGTCAGGGCGCCTGTGGCGCGTGCAGGATGCAGCCCATCAGTGATTCTCATCATTGATCTCTCTCTCTCTCTCTCTCTCATCAATATAAAAAATATTTTTTTAAAAAAATACAGCAACTCATGATTAGCTATGGCAATATAAAAGTCAGTCCTTTGATATAAATTCGTGTGGTTGGCTGGAATAGACTATGAAGCAAGGTGGTGAGAAGTAAAGATGGTGGGAACCAGTGCTGCTGGGCGCTGATGTTGTGGGGGTTGGACTTTTTTTTTTTTTTCTTCAATATTTTTATTAATTTCTGAGAGGAAGGAAGAGGGAAAAAGAGAAACATCCATGATGAGAGAGAATCATGGATCGGCTGCCTCCTGCACGCCCTCTACTGGGGATCGAGCCCACAACTGGGCATGTGCCCTGACCGGGATCGAACCCGGGACCCTTCAGTTCACAGGCCGATGCTCTATCCACTGAGCCACACTGGCCGGCGGGTTTGGACTTTAGAAGGAATGTGCAGTAGAAAGTCAAGCACAGGGGAACCTGCTGGGTGTCCTTTTTGTCTGTTGTGACGTAGTCACAGGACCCACCCCCCACCCCCCACCCCCCCCCCATGTCCTGTGCGGATGCTCTCGCCTCTGCTGGGTGCAAATCCCGTTTCTGACGGTTGGCTTTCCCCCTCCTCCTAGAAAGACGACGACATAGAAGAAGGAGACCTCCCGGAGCACAAGCGGCCGGCGGCCCCCGTGGACTTCTCGCAGCTGGACCCGGGCAAGCCGGAGAGCATCCTGAAGATGACCAAGAAGGGCAAGACGCTCATGATGTTCGTCACCGTGTCTGGGAGCCCCACGGAGAAGGAGACGGAGGAGATCACCAGCCTCTGGCAGGGCAGCCTCTTCAACGCCAACTACGATGTCCAGAGGTGAGCGCCCGCCCCTGAGGGGCTCCAGCCCACATGTTCCTTGTTTATTTCATTCTTATATATGTACTAGTAGCCCGGTGCACGAAATTCGTGCACATTAAAAGGGAATTAATTGCCCTGACCGGTGTGGTTCAGTGGATAGAGTGTCGGCCTGCGGACTCAAGGGTCCCGGGTTCGATTCCGGTCAAGGTCATGTACCTGGGTTGCGGGCACATCCCCAGTGGGGGGCGTGCAGGCGGCAGCTGACCGATGTTTCTCTCTCATTGATGTTTCTAACTCTCCCTCTTCCTTCCCCTCTGTAAAAAATCAATAAAATAGATATTTTTTAAAAAGGGAATTAATTAGCAGAGATATTTTAATATTGCTGTTTGTCCTTTCTCTATAATAGAAGTGTGAGAGATGAAAGCAAATTAGTAAAATGTATGTGAAAATAATATATAAATTTATTAGTAAATAAACAGTAACAAAGGGAGCTGATTCCGTGAGGAATGGGGCTCCCTCCTCCCTCCTGTCAGGGTCCGGGGTGCAGGAGAATGGGGTTCCTGGATGGCAGGCCACTGACAGCAAGCTATCCAACAGTGGATTCAGTGAGGAATGGGGCTCCCTCCTTTCTACTGTCAGGGTCTGGTGTGAAGGCCAGCCACGCCCCCTGTTGGGCCAGACCCAGAGTTCTACCACGCTGTGGCCTCCGCCTCAGCAACCCAGGACTGACTGCTGCTGGGCGCTCCTGGTGCTCTGAGGGTGGGTTCTTCCCTCAGGCCACACGGGAAACAGCTGGGGAGGGCGCAGCCCTTGGCAAAACGACCCAGGGGTCCATGCTCAGTGGGTCCACGCTCCGAGGGCGGGTTCCTGCCTCAAACCCTGCCCTCACTGAAACAGCTTGTGGGAGGGCGCAGCCATTGCCAAGACAACCCCTGCAGGACTGACTTCCTTCCACTTGGTCGCAGTGGTTCAGGTTGTGATGAACACCACCCATGGTTTTTATATAAGTAGATGTTGTTAATCTTCACCCGAGGGTATGTTTCCATTGATTTTAAGAGAGAGAGGGAGAGACAGAGAAACATTGATGTGAGAATCAACTGGTTGCTTCCTGCATGAGCCCCAACCAGGGCCCGGGCCGGGGAGGAGCCTGCAACCAAGTACATATGTGCCTTTGACCGGACTCGAACCAGGACCCTTCGGTCCACAGGCCCAAGCTCTATCCACTGAGCAAAACCAGCTAGGAATCTTTATTTTTTTAAATATGTTTTTATTGGTTTCAGAGAGGAAGGGGGCGGGGGAGAGAGAGAGAGAGAGAAACAGAAACATCAATGATGAGAGAGAATCATGGATTGGCTGCCTCCTGCACGCCCCCCACTGGGGATGGAGCCCGCAACCCAGGCCTGTGCCCTGACTGGGAATCGAACCTCATCCTCCTGGGTCATAGGGTGACCCTGAACTACTGAGCCACACCAGACAGCCCTTAAAGAAGATTCAGCCCTGACCGGTGTGGCTCAGTGGATAGAGCATCGGCCTGTGGACTGGGGGGTCCCGGGTTCGATTCCGGTCAAGGGCATGTGCCTTGGTTGCAGGCACATCCACAGTGGGGGGCGTGCAGGAGGCAGCTGATCGATGTTTCTCTCTCATTGATGTTTCTAACTATCCCTCTCCCTTCCTCTCTGTAAAAAATCAATAAAATACATATTTTTAAAAAAGAAAGAACATTAATTGTTGGTCAAAACCAGAGAGTTCTTTTTGTTGTTTTCATTGTTGTCTTATTTCCTCATGAAGTTTTATTTATCTTTGTTCCTTTAACTGTTATCTGAGTAAGAAGTTGTCTAGTTTAGCCTCCCTGGGGGCCCAGTCAGTTACAGGTGGACCATGTGCTTCCTTCAGAAGTGCCTGCCCTGTGTAGCGTGCTTTCCTGGGTGGCCGTGCACACAGGTAGCTGGGTCACAGGTAACTCGTGTAAGGGAAACCTCGTATGAGCCTAAGGTGCAATTTTAAGGAATTTCTTTTTTTCCTTCTCAATAGCAGTTCTAAAAGCTAGGGTGTTCCCAGGTCTTAGTTTAAGAAGTACCTATATATATAACAGCCACGCGACCAGACCCACCAGTCGCTACGATGCGCACTGCAGCGGCCAGTCTCCCCGCCGCCCCCCAAACCTCTCGAGGCCCCTCTCCCCGGCGGCCTCACCCTCCATCGGCCCCCATTGGGGCAGGCCGGCCAGACCCCACCTGTGCATGAATTCGTGCACCGGGCCTCTAGTGAAAGTAATAAGAAATCCGAGAGTGTCAAGGGGGCAGAATGCCTTCGTCGGCTTAAATAGACACTCGGGGGAACAGATCCGCTACCACTGATCCAGATGGAGCCCCTCAGGAACAGAAGAGCGGTGCCCACTGGCAGCTAGTGGTCCGCCCAGGCCCCGTTCTCTTCCTCTTGCTCCCAGGCGCCTGCTCAGTGCGGATTGCGGACGACTTGGGCTGCTGCTGTGAACCCCCGGGGCCAGGGTTTCTGTCCAGCAGGCGGGTCCCCTCATGCCCTTCCTAGGCCTCGGCGTGACCCAGTCAAAACCAGAGGTTTCAGCCTTGACCAGCAGAGGAAACCTCAACGGGCACCTCGGAACGTGAAACAGGTGCACCAGCAGCTGCTCGTGCTCCCAGCAGCCCCCCCCCCCGCCCCCCCTGCGCAGCCTCAGGGCCTCCCCCCCCCCCCCACCAAGCCCAGCTGTTGCCTTTTTTTTTTTTATTGATTTTAGAGAGGAAGGGAGAGGGGGAGAGAGAAAAATCAATGATGAGAGAGAATCTGATCGGCTGCCTCCTGCAGGCCCCACACGGGATGGAGCCCACAAGCCGGGCCTGTGGCCTGACTGGCACCGAAATGTGACCTCCTGGTTCCTAGATCGACGCTCACCACTGAGCCACGCCGGCCGGCCCGGTGCTGCTTCTGCTCTGAGCTGATCTGAGGGGCCAACCAGTTCAATCTGTTCGGATCCCAGACATGAAGTTTCAGAAGCTACTGGGCTTCGACACGTCCAATATGTTGTTCTGTGTCCTGTAGAATTTGAAAGGAAGTGTTTTCCTGGTTAAGTGCCACAGAAACTCTGACCCTGTCCAGGGGTGGGGAACGTCCGACCCTGGGCTGTGTGAGGCCCGGGAAATCATTTGGTCTGGCCCTGCCAAGCATTAAGGGTGAGTTAATTAAAGGTTTGACCAAATATAACAGGCTCATTTATTTTTTATTGATTTCAGAGAGGGAGAGAGAAATAGAAACACCAGTGATGAGAGAGAATCATTGATTGATTGATTGATCGGCTGCCTCCTGCACGCCCCCTCCTGGGGATCAAAGCCGCAACCCGGGCATGTGCCCCGACCGGAATTGAACCCGTGACCTCCTGGTTCACAGGCTGACGCTCAACCCCTGAGCCACGCCGGCCGGGCTCGCAGGCTAATGTCTGAGTTGATGATCGTGTGTGGCTCGCGGACGATGTTATAAATGTCCACGTGGCCCCGGGCAGGAGAAGGCTCCCCACCCCTGCCTTCGCCCTGCACTGCGTGCGCTGACCGGTGGCCTCCCCCTCCCCAGGTTCATCGTGGGCTCGGACCGCGCCATCTTCATGCTGCGGGACGGAAGCTACGCCTGGGAGATCAAGGACTTCCTGGTCAGCCAGGACAGGTGTGCGGACGTCACCCTGGAGGGGCAGGTGTACCCTGGCCGCGGCGGAGGCGGCAAAGAGAAAAACCAGACCAAGCCAGGGAAGGGCAAGAAGAAGGAGGGAGACGCCAAGCCTCGCGCCTCGAAGGAAGGCAACCGAGCCGGCAAGACGCGCGAGGACCTGTAAGGGGCGGGCGGCCTCTGTGGGGGCGTGGGGACCCACACCGCCGGCATTCTGGCTGCTTCCAGGGCCCGGCACCTGCTCGCTCTGACCACACGCCGGGGCTGTGGGCAGATCAGAGTCCCTGTTGGAAAGGCTGCAGGGACGAAGACGGCTTTCGCATTCTCCTCGGACGCGGCCAAGTTCAGGTTTCCTGTGAAGCCGCGTTCGAAGGAAGCCGGACTGTGGCCTTTCCCACTTACATGGGGGGAGCCCCTGGCCGCCGTCAGCGCCCCCAGTGGCCCTGCTCCGGGCTCGTGTCTGTGCTTGGGTTTTGTGCAGATTTTGAGAGAGAAGGACACCGGGTTCTGCCTGACACGTTGAGACCTGACGCCATTGAAGCGGCCTCTTCGCGCTTCGTGCCTGTGAAGTGAGCACGCACCTCGGGCCACAGGACGTGTGCACCCCCCGCCCCTGCAGGACCCGCAGAGACAGGAAGTCCGGTCCCTGGGGTCCCACGCATCTGGGATTCCCGGGCCTCCCTCCTCGGTTAAAGGGGCTCTGGGCCTCTGTCCACTGCCGGGTGGCCTGGGGTCGGGGTCCTGTTCGTGTCCTTATTCAGGAAGCCCCAGCGCCGGCTGTGCTAGGTCACTCGGGCACCGCGGCCCAGGGCCCACCCTCCTCCATGTGCACACGTGTGTCTGATGAAGTGCCTACATGTGTGTATCTGGTCCTCACGGCGCCCTCCCCACTGGTTCTGACTCCCGTTCCTGTCGGAGCCGCCCCTGGTGGGAGGGGCGGGTTTGTACACAGGTGCCATTTTTAAGAGCTGCAGTCGTTTGCAAACACCATCCGTTGTGATTTTAACAAAATAACACACGTGCGTGCTCAGACGGTGCCGTGGTCCCAGGTCTCCCTCGCCACTGCCGCCTGTCGTCCCTGCAGGAGCTCCCGTCGGCGCGTCCAAAACACGTGCATCTACCAGCTTGTGTTAGATTGGGGGGGGGTGGGGGGGGGGTTGGCCTTGCGGTGTCTGTGTGTGTGTGTGTGCACGTGCGTGAGCACCTTGGAACGTCTGTTTCCCCTGGTGTGTGTGCATGTGTGTGTGTGCGCGCCTCGCAGCGTCTGCCTCCCCTGGTCTGGTCAGGCCCGCAGTCCTGTGCTCTGGGCGGGTGTTTGCCCTGCTGCCCCGGCCGCCAGCCACCCCCCTGTTGTTTCTCATGCAGTTTGAACCCAGAGGGGGTGTGAGTCCAGAGAGGCCGTCAGAATGGCGCCACCCGGGCCCAGAGGAGACGGGTGAGACCCCTGAAGCCTCTGGCCCTGGCTCCCGTCTAGGGGTGTCGCTTTGAAATGGAGCCGGGTGTCCACGAGGGGGCGGCAGAGACCCGCCCGCACCTCCCGCTCTGCCTGCCGGGAGCTCTGCCTGCGGGAGCGGGATCCCTGGGCTGCCGTCGGGTCGGGCTCCAGCTGCTGCGAGTGTGAAGCTCCGCGGGCACCGCTTCCGGGCGTTTCCCTTTGATCGCCCTGAGCTGGCGGCGCGTGTGTTCGCTTACCGCGTTGTCATAGCGACCCCGGCCCAGGGCCGTGCTGGCCCCTCCCCCCACGCCAACGGGGCTCCGCGCAGGCGGGCAGCGCCCTCCGGGCCCCGCGGCCGGAAGCGCCGGAGCCAGGGTCGCAGCCCAGCAGCCGCTGCCGCTGCCGGTGGGACGGGATCACAAGGACCTTCTCTCGTCAGAGCGGCCGGGAGCACGGTTTGTGCTGTGCCTCCGGGTTGGGAATTAGTTCCTGTGCCACGAGATGGAAAAGGTTAGCCCCGGCCCGCGGGGCTCAGGGGTTGAGCATCAGCCTATGAAACGGGGTCCGGGTTCGATTCCCGGGCGGGGCACAGACCCGGGGTTGCGGGCTCGATCCCCGTGGGGGCGTGCAGGGGCGGCGACCCGGGATGCTCTCTCATTGTTGATGTTTCTCTCCCCTCTGCCTTCCTCTCTGAAACCAATACAATTTTTTTTTTAAAGGAAAATCACTGGGATAGTGAAAGCAGACCCGGAGGGCAATTCACCAACCTTGTTTTTCTTAGCTATGAGACCCAGTTTATTTTATAAATATATATATTTTATTGATTTTTTACAGAGAGGAAGGGAGAGGGACAGAGAGTTAGAAACATCAATGAGAGAGAAACCGATCAGCTGCCTCCTGCACGCCCCCTATTGGGGATGTGCCCGCAACCCAGGTCCATGCCCTTGACCGGAATCGAACCCGGGACCCTTTAGTCCCTAGGCCGATGCTCTATCCACTGAGCCACACCGGTCAGGGCAAGACCCAGTTTATTTATTTATTTGTTAATCAGAGAGGAAGGGAGAGGGTGGGAGATAGAAACATCATCGATGAGAGAGCATCATGGACCGGCTGCCTCCTGCACGCCCCCCACTGGGGATCGAGCCCACAACCCGGGCCTGTGCCCTGACCGGGATGGGATCAAACCCGGGACCCTTCAGTCTGCGGGCCGACGCTCTATCCACCGAGCCACACCGGCCGGGGCTGTGAGACGCAGTTTAAAGGGAAAGAACAGACAGACAAGTGGCACCTCTGCGCGTTTACTGTGGTACAGCGAGGGCCCCCCCCAGACAACACGTACAACAAACAGCCCTTCATTGCTCTGACCGGGGTTTCTCCATGTGCACAGATAATAAATAAATAGAAAATAGATCTCTGTCCCCGGTGACGCACACAAGAAATGTTTACATACAAAACACCATCCGGCGCCTTCCCGGAAGAGGCCAGCTGTTTGGGCAACAGGAAAAGGACACGCGTGTCGTTGGCGTGTAGTTCTCCTCGGAAGCCTGGCTCATGGGCGCGGGCAGGTTCGACGCGGACGTATGTACAGCTGAGGATCCTCAAATAGATTATTTCCGGACCGGACCGGACCGAACTCGGGCCCGATCCCGGCCGCCCAGGGCGGCCGCATCCCACCCACGTGGTTCACAGTGTGAGACCCTTGCACGAAGAGTTGGAAAAACTGACAGAACGAGAGACAGAAGAACATGAGGTCACTGACGCCCTGCCCGGAGGAGGGCCTTCCTGGGACGGCCGGCAGCCCCGCTGTCGCCTCTGGCAGTGGGCGCAGCCCGGGCACGACCCGCTAGGGGCCTCCTGGGTGCAGCTGGGCCCTCTTGGGGGGAAGAGGTCCTGGTTGGGAAGGAGGGGGGCAGGCAGTTCATGGCGAGACCAAGTGCCCTGGGGGCGGCACCAGCTGTAACCACAGGCCGTTCCCCTCTGCACGGAGCTCTCGGCCTTCTCCCGGGTGGGCCGGGGAGGGAGAGGACGGCAGGAGCCGCAGGGCCCTCCGAGAGCAGCCCGGAGCCCAGGGGGTTGGCTGAGGATGCCCGCGGGCCTGGCCAGGTTGGCTGCTGGGCCGTGGAACGGGTAGCACCAATGGAGTCGCCGCGGCTGTGTGCTCCCGCACATGCGGGCCGGCTGGTAGTTGGAGCAAAGGAGGCTGCCCGTCGTTCCTGCGAGCCCCGCTGCCGCCTCCTCCAGGAAGTCTTCCCGGCTTACCCAGGCAGGGAAGATCTTTCCCTCCTCGGGACCGGTTTTGGTCCCGATTTTACACTCTGGTTCCTCTGAGGGCACGTGTCCCTGACTGCCTGGCCTGCCCCTCCCCTAGGCACCCCCCTCAGCCTCACGGCTGTTCTCACCCGCGCCTGGTTCCAGGCACAACAGGGAGAGCACGGACACCTGGAATCTCTGACTTTAAAAGTCACACAGTCAGATCTCAACCTGGGACCTGGATTCCCCTGAAAGGTGGGCCCCCCAGAGGCACCCTCACCTCTTCAAGCGCAGCCGGCCCGTCTCCACTCCTAACCCCGTGAAGGCTGCTTCTTACAGGATACAGGTTCCCCTAAAACCGGGGCTCCTTGGCCTACATCTCCCCCCCTAATGCGTGTGCTGGGAGCATGGGGCTTGGGAGGGACCCAGCGCACATCCCTGCTGCCAGCCAGCCAGGCCTCTGAGCGTGGTCCCTAACCCCCCCTCCCCCGAGAGGCACGGATGGGAGAGAAGCACCCAAGAGCCGCAGGGAAGATGAGGTGTCCGCATCGGCCGGCGCTGCCTGGGGCTGTAGTAGGCACGAGTGGGGCAGGCAGAGGCACCGGGGTCTCGGCGTCCTTCCCTCGGGCTGGCCGGATGCTTGGCCTTTCCCGGCAGCCGCTGGGCGGGGACTGGGGAGCCAGCCCCCCGTCCCCCGCCCCCGGGTCCGCTGCCAAGAGTCCGCCGTCACGCTCCTCACAACCTCTTCTTCCTCACCACGGGGATGGGCACCACCTGGAAGATTTTGGCCTGGTGGTCCTCGGTGGCCAGGGTCACCCAGGTGGGCCGGAAGCTGCCTTTGAAGCCAACGAAGACCATTTTGTCTGAAAAGGAGTGACGAGTCACGTGAGCAGAAAGCACAAGAGAGAGCGGCTCCCGCCAGGCCCCGCCCGGGCACGCCCTCCCCTGGCCCCTGGGACACGCTCTGTGCCCAGCTCCTGGCAGTCAGTGCCTGACAGCTGTGCGTACACGGGCACAGGTCTCAGTTGTTAGGAGCAAGTGACTCAGCTGTCTCATTCTCAGTGTCTTCATTTTACTATATATATAAAAGCCTAAGGGACCTTCATGACCGGATGACCGGCCGGTCGCTATGATGTGCGCTGACCACCAGGGGGCAGACGCTCAATGCAGGAGCTGCCCCCTGGTGGTCAGTGCGCTCCCACAGCCAACCTCTCGCGGCTGGCCCCAATCGGCCCCGATCACGTGCACAAATTCATGCACCAGGCCTCTAGTATGGGAATAACGTACCTGTTCCATCGTTTTAAGGCAAGCATGTCAAACTTGAGGCCCACAACGGATATTTTTGCAGCCCAGCCAATAGAACGGTATGTAAGGAACTTTCTAATAAAAATTTTATAACTTAATTTTTACAATATCCTGTTGTACATCATTATGAACAGCGAGCTACAACGTTCGCTAACGACTGATGACGGTCATCGTGTTGCATTCGCGTCCCTCACGCGCCTCACACGCAGGCGCACCGTCTCTCCCCACTGACACCGGCAGCGAATGTTCCAGCAGCCGGTGGCCGCGTCCTTAGTCTGGGACTGACCTGCTTGGTGTGCACAACAGGAAATACCTCGCTTTTGGAGAACGAGAGAAATGGGTTTATCTACGTGACACTTATCCATTTGTGCAGTTACTCAGGGTCTGGCGAGTTAATGTTCAAGTAAAAATGTTAATTTTTATTAAAATGTTCTATTATGTGAACAATGACATTCATTTCAGCCCTTTGCATTCAGCACGTCTCTATCGAAAGAAACCTACGTTTCTATGAAAATGGAAGCTTTTGCCCTGGCCGGTGTGCTCAGTGGATAGAGCGTCAGCCTGTGGACCGAAGGGTCCCGGGTTTGATTCCAGTCAAGGGCACGTGCCTGGGTCGTGGGCTCAATCCCCACTAGGGGCATGCAGGAGGCAGCCAATCCATGATTCTCTCTCATCGATGATGTTCTATCTCTCTCCCTCCCTCTCCCTTCCTCTGAAATCAATAAAAATATATTTTTAAGAAAAAGAAGAGAATGGAAGCTTTTGGTTTTTTGCGGCCACAGACACTCAAACCTCGTTTATCTGGCCCGTGTTAGCCTGTGAGTGTGACATGCTTGCTTTAAGGAGTACGTGGCATCAGCGTACAATCGTGCAGCGAGGCGCCAGGCTGAACTCGACGTGTAACTATGGTGACGTCCTCACTGTTATCTGCACGGTTACCCGCCTCCCCTCGGCCCCTGGGGACCCCCTGAGCACAGCGTGCCCTTGCCGACTGTGACGCTGACGTTTCTGCCAGCCGGCCCCTCCCCTGTGGGCTGTGCCAGGTTGCAGCCCAGAAGGGCAGGGTGACCTTGACCAGGGTGACCTTGCGTCTCTGGCTCTCCCCAGACAACCTCCGGGGAACCAATGAGAGCTTTGCAAACACAGAGCCTGTCCAAAGGGGCCCGGGCCGGCAGGCTGAGGAGGCAGTGGGGGGTCCCAGCCGCCTGAGCGGCCAGAACTGGGAGAGGTCAGACCGAGACACTTTCTGCTGATATTTTTGTTGAAATAAAGAGCCACTTGCTGAGTAGATGATGAGCAACGTCAACAGCTTCCTTCAGGGTCTGGTCACACGTAAAGGGAAGTGTCTGGCCCCAGCCGGTGTGGCTCAGTGGATAGCGCACCGGCTTGCGGACCGAAGGGTCTCGCGTTCGATTCCGGTCAAGGGCACGGACCTCGGTGGCAGGCTCCTCCCCGGCCCAGGCCCTGGTCAGGATGCATTCAGGAGGCAACCCATCGATGTGTCTCTCTCACATCGATGCTTCTCTCTATCTCTCCCTCTCTCTTCCACGCTCTCTAAAAATCAATGGAAAAATATCCTCGGGAGAGCATTAACAAAAATTTTTTTAAAAAAATTAAGGAAAGTGTGTGGAGGTGGCACTTGCCCTGCAACCAGGACAGCACTGAGCCAGGGCCAGTACCAGAGATCACCACCAGGGCAGCACTGAGCCAGGGCCAGTACCAGAGATCACCACCGGGGGCAGCCAGGGCCAGTACCAGCAGGCATCATGGGGGGCAGCATTGAGTCAGGGCCAGTACCAGCAGGCACCACCAGAGGCAGCACTGAGACAGGGCCAGTACCAGCAGGCATCATGGGGGGCAGCATTGAGTCAGGGCCAGTACCAGCAGGCACCACTGGGGGCAGCACTGAGTCAGAGCCAGTACCAGCTGGCATCACGGGGGGCAGCACTGAGTCAGGGCCAGTACCAGCGAGCACCACCAGGGGCAGCACTGAGCCAGGGCCAGGCATCATTCCCCAATTACAATGAGAGGCTGTGCCAGGTTTGGGGGGAGGAGCTGGTCTCAGCCCCGGGCAGGCGCGCCTGGGCCCCAGGCATCGGGACTCAGAAACCCCAGTCCAAACCCCTCACCTTTCAACTTGAGCCCCTTGTCCGCCCCGAGCTTCTCCAGCACGCGCGTCCACGGGCCTCTGGAGACGAACCTTCCCTTGGACGCCACGAGGACGATGGAGCTGAGTGAGAGAGGGCCGATGAGTGCACGAGCGAGCACCGCGGAGCAAAGGCCCCTGGGAGGCGGGGCACTGTCCGAGGTGGGGCCGAGGTAGCAGTGCCCAGAGGCCTGGCCAGCGGCCTTGGGGACGCCCCCACCCCTGCCTCCACCCCCCCTCACATCTGGCTGCAGCTGGCACCCATGACTCCCTAAGGCTCTGCTCTGCCCACTGCTTTCACATCTGCCCCCAAGGAGGAGAGGGCAGGTACCAGCGGGCGCCACCGGGGGCAGCACTGAGTCAGGGCCAGTACGAGTGAGCACCACTGGGGGCAGCACTGAGTCAGGGCCAGTACCAGTGAGCACCACCGGGGGCAGCACTGAGTCAGCGCCAGTACCAGTGAGCACCACTGGGGGCAGCACTGAGTAGGGGGGTCGGTACCAGTGGGCGCCACCGGGGGCAGCACTGAGTCAGGGCCGGTACCAGTGAGCACCACCGGGGGCAGCACTGAGTAGGGGGGTCGGTACCAGTGGGCGCCACCGGGGGCAGCACTGAGTCAGGGCCGGTACCAGTGAGCACCACTGGGGGCAGCACTGAGTCAGGGCCAGTACCAGTGAGCACCACTGGGGGCAGCACTGAGTCAGGGCCAGTACCAGTGAGCACCACTGGGGGCAGCACTGAGTAGGGGGGTCGGTACCAGAGAGCACCACTGGGGGCAGCACTGAGTAGGGGGGTCGGTACCAGAGCGCAACACAGGGGGCAGCACTGAGTAGGGGGGTCGGTACCAGTGAGCACCACTGGGGGCAGCACTGAGTCAGGGTCGGTACCAGTGAGCATCACTGGGGGCAGCACTGAGTCAGGGCCGGTACCAGTGAGCACCACGGGGGCAGCACTGAGTCAGGGCGGGTACTAGTGAGCACCACTGGGGGCAGCACCGAGTAGGGGGGCCGGTACCAGCGAGCACCACCGGGGGCAGCACTGAGTCAGGGCCGGTACCAGCGAGCACCACCGGGGGCAGCACTGAGTAGGGGGGTCGGTACCAGTGGGCGCCACCGGGGGCAGCACTGAGTCAGGGCGGGTACTAGTGAGCACCACCGGGGGCAGCACTGAGTAGGGGGTCGGTACCAGCGAGCACCACCGGGGGCAGCACTGAGTAGGGGGGTCGGTACCAGTGAGCACCACTGGGGGCAGCACTGAGTAGGGGGGTCGGTACCAGTGAGCACCACTGGGGGCAGCACTGAGTCAGGGCGGGTACTAGTGAGCACCACCGGGGGCAGCACTGAGTAGGGGGGTCGGTACTAGTGAGCACCACCGGGGGCAGCACTGAGTAGGGGTGTCGGTACCAGTGGGCGCCACCGGGGGCAGCACTGAGCCATTGCAATGTTCCCCACTCTGTCCGGACAGGGCTGGCAGAAACATGGCGATGGAGAGAACCTGTGCTACCACCTGCTCAGGGAATTCACCTGTCACCTGCCTGTCACCTCCCTTCCTGGTCACGTAAGGCCGCATGACTGCCCTGTTTCACAAATGGGGAAACCGAGGCACATGGTTACTAAGTGTCTGAGAGGACCTGGCGGTGGGAGCCCTGCTGAGGAGGGGGCAGAGGCCTGGAGCAGGGGTGCGCCCAGCCGGGAGGCCCCCGGGGGAGCAGGAGGCCGCCCCCCGGCTGCCATGGCTGAGTCCAGGCCCCAGCGCCGTGCAAACGGCCCCCCGGTGGCAGACAGCGCTGCCCAGACGGAGGAAGTGAGCAGCTCCCGGGAATAGAAACGGGCAGAAGCCCAGAGGGGCCGCCGTTCCCCTCTCACAGGAGCCCCGGGAACCACAGACCGCAGGCCAGACTGGAAAATGTGCCTGGGATCCTGGCGCCGCTGCCAGGCCCTCCCCCGGTCCCAGGGGGAGCGGAGGCCGGTTCTTCACATGCAACGGGCCGCGCGCAGCCACGGCGAGGGCGGGGGCTGCAGGCGGCCGGGAGGAGAGCCAGGGGCTGGCGGTGGGGACGCTGAATGGCAGCATCGCAAACACACCCTGGGCCTCGGCGTCGGGCTCTGGGCCCAGAAGGCTGTGTCCCCATCCCTCCGATTCGGAGGACGCGCTACCGCCCCTGAGCTGGGGGGACACAGGAGGGGGGCTGGGTTAGCTCCTGGCAGCAGGACACCGGGCAGGGCTCTCCTGTGTCACAGCCCCGACGGCGGGCACACGCGGGCCCCTCGGCCTGGCATGAGCTTCTCTGTGCCCTGCACCTGTCGGCAGGGAGTGGCCCTCGGGGTGGCGGAGCAGCTCCCGGGAGCCAGCCTTGATGCTCCAGGTGTGAGCAGCTGGGGCCTGGGGCAGCGGTGGCCCCGGGTGGGAGGGGAGGAGTGAGGCAGGAAGGCTGGGGCGGGGGGTGGGAGACACACACACACACACACACACACACACACACACACACACACGGGGCTGCCAGGAGCAGCAGCAGAGCCGACAGAACACGGTCAGCAGTGCAGCAAAGGAAAGACGGAGTGAACGCGATGCAGACTCGGCCCCAGCTCTGGATGGTGTGATGACGTCACCAAGACAGGGAGACCAGGAAGACTGGCTGGTTCAGGGATTCAAAAAGAGCCAGGCCCGGCCGGCGTGGCTCAGTGGTTGAGCGTCGACCCAGGAACCAGGAGGTCACGGTTCGATTCCCGGTCAGGGCACATGCCTGGGTTGCGGGCTCCATCCCCAGTGTGGGGCGTGCAGGAGGCAGCCGGTCCATGATTCTCTCTCATCATGGATGTTTCTATCTCTCTTTCCCTCTCCCTGCCTCTCTGAAATCAATCCTATATAATAAAACCCTAATATGCAAATCGACTGAACGGTGGAATGACCGGTCGCTATGAACTGACCACCAGGGGGCAGACGCTCAATGCAGGAGCTGCCCCCTGGTGGTCAGTGCGCTCCCACAGGGGGAGCGCCGCTCAGCCAGAAGCCGGCGAGTGCAGTGGCCGTGGCGGGAGCCTCTGTGGCAGCACTAAGGGGCAGCGAGCCAAGCGGTAGGAAGCAGCAAGCAGGCGGGCGGTAAGGAGCGAGGGGCCCCAGACTGCGAGAGGGCACTGGCCGGGCTGAGGGACGCCCCCCACCCCAGCCTCCACCCCCCAGTGCACAAATTTCGTGCACCAGGCCTCTAGTGAAAATATAGTTAAAAATAAATGCTGAGAGTGCTGTTCCACAGGAGGCCTGTAGGGGGCGACCTCGAATAGCCTTTGGGAGGAACGAGATCTGGGCCGGAGAGGCTCAGAAGCATGTGGATCGTATTAACCGAGTGGGAGGGATGAGGTCATTGGGGATGGCGATGACGGGGCCGCGGGCCAGGGCAGGCTTCCCGCTGCTACCCGGGCAGCCGGCTGCCTGCGCCTGACCTACATTCACAGGCCTGGCTCCGGCGGGCGGTCCCGGCCCTGGCAGCCCAGCAGCCCAGCCCTGCGCTCCCCGGCCTGGCGGAGCATGCAGGCCCCCTGAGCTGCCCCGGCTGCACTGCGAGGGGTCCTGGGGCACAGGGGCCCCGCTCACCTGTCGGGGATGGCCGCCACGTGGTTGAAGAGCTGCCAGGGGATGCCCTGCAGAACAGCGTTCCGGAAGCTCGCGTGGCTCAGCACGCGCCCGTGGCTGCCGTCGACCACCACCACCTGGATGCCCTCCTCCAGGCCGGGGTACCGCCTGCCGCCCACCTGCAGAGCAGAGCAAACCCAGTGGGTGTGTGGGGGGCCCGAAGGCAACCAGGGTCCGAGGTCTCCTGCTCAGGGTCCCCAAGGGGACCAGGACACGGGGTGCCCCTGCAGCTTGAATCCGTTCCTGGCGGCCTCTGCTGTGGGCTGAACGGCTCTGCCCACCCCCCACCCCCCACCCCCGGGTCTACAGGTCTCAGACGTCCAGGACTGCTGGCCACCACTGGAGCGAGAAGAGGCCTGAACAGCTGCTTCCTCAGCCTCCCAAAGGGCCCCCCGCCAACACTCCCACTTTATCTTTATTTTGTTTTATTTGTTCATCCTCCCCTGAGGATATTTTCCCATTGATTTTTTAAATATATTTTATTGACTTTTTACAGAGAGGAAGGGAAAGGGATAGAGAGAAACATCGATGAGAGAGAAACATCGATCAGCTGCCTCCCGCACACCCCCCACTGGGGATGTGCCTGCAACTAAGGTACAAGCCCGTGACCGGAATCGAACCTGGGACCCTCCAGTCCGCAGGCTGACGCTCTATCCACTGAGCCAAACCGGTTACGGCTTCCCATTGATTTTTAGAGAGAGTGGAAGGGATGGGGGGAGACAGAGAGAAACATCGATGGGCTGCCTCCTGCACGTGCCCCGACCTGGGCTGGGGAGGAGCCTGCCACTGAGGTAATGGGGAAAATGAGACATTTGGGGGGTGGGGGGTGGGCTAGCAATCTGAATCTGTGCCAGCAACCTCATGCACATTCCTGTTAGCCTATAGTCTAGCCCAGTGATGGCGAACCTATGACACTCATTTTTTTGGTTGATTTTTCTTTGTTAAATGGCATTTAAATATATAAAATAAATATCAAAAAAATATGTCTTTGTTTGACTCTGGTTGCAAAGATCAAAAAATTTCTCTATGTGACCCGGCACCAGAGTCAAGTTAGGGTTTTTCAAAATGCTGACACGCCGAGCTCAAATGGTTCGCCATCGCTCTAGTCACTGCCCCTTCTTTAATTATCTGGTCTTGCAAGACCGGTTTACCTAAGCACTACCCCCATTTTACAGGGGCCATAAACCATGGACCATACACAACCCCCCGACGGGGTCATCAGCACTGGTGCCAGGCCAGACCTTTAGGTGTGGCCTCACAGCCCCCACCCAGCACACGGGGCTTTTTGCAGAGCCCGAGAAAGGTCCGGAAGTCCCACCCATATTTGGGGGACAAGGAAACCAAAAGGGTACAAAGGGAGAGCCCCCTCCGTATTGGTTATGCTCAGGATTTGGAGAGAAACCGTCTTCCCCGAGACACTGTACTAATACACACAAAACGTCTGAAAATAAAGGGGTTTTCCTGTGCCTCCGGTACTCCTGCGTATTTTTCGGGTGCCCGGTAAGTTCTGTAACAGAGGCACGTGCCCTTGAGCGGAATAGAACCCGGGACCCTTTGGTCCGCAGGCCGGCGCTCTAGCCACTGTGCCACACCGGCCGGGGCCCAAGACTTTCCCTTTGGACTTTCAGCCTCCGGAACTGAGAGGGGGAGAGATCCCTGTCGCCTGGAGCCACGAGTGTGTGAGGACAGCGGCCCGAGGAAGCCACTGACCAGGGAGGGGGGGAGGGGGAGCCCAGCCCCCCCCCCCCCCAGGGCCAGTCACCTACCTCGATGTAAGCCAGGTCATTGAGAAGGTGCAAGAATCGCTGCTTGAAACTTTCCAGCTTCACCTCCAAGAAGTGGTCCTTTGTTTTCTAGAACAAACAGGCCCGGGGTGGTCAGCTCTGAGGAGTCAGGTGTGCGGCCCAGGGCATGTCCATGGCCCTCCTGCCCGCCCCCCATCCCCGGGGAGCCGGGCGGGGGGCCAGGCTGAAGGCCAAGGGGCAGGGCTGGCTGCCTGCCACTCACCAGCTGCGCCCCGACCAGCTTCCGGGGCATCAGCACGTCCACCGTGGCCCTCTCGGCGAAGCGGGGGTAGGCGGTGGCCGTGCAGTCGCTGACGCCCGCGTTCCGGGGGATCAGAGCCTTGATCTTGATCCTCTCGCAGCCCTTCACCGAGCAGAAGGCAAATTTCTCCCTCTCGTTCTGGGCCGTCAGCTTCAGGAACAGCAGCCTGTGCAGTGGGGGGGGGGGGGGGGGGGTGGGGGGGGAAACCGTGGCTGTGGCATCAGAACCCTGAGGGCCAGCCGGCCGGGCCCCTAAACAGGACACGTATTCATGTGTCAGCGACACTTCGCTTGGTGGCACCTGGCAGACCCCGCTGTTGGGGACACAGCTGGCACCACTCAAGGGTGTGTAACCCTGAGAAACGGGTGAATCAGGGTGTGACATGTGTTTGCACCCCCCGCCCTTTCAGACTATTTGCTTTTTAAAAAACATGTTTTTATTGATTTTGGAGAGAGAGGAACAGAGTGGGAGACAGAGAGAAATATTGATGTGAGAGAGAAACCGATCGGCCGCCTCCTGCACGCCCCCTACTGGGGATCGAGCCCGCAACCCGGGCCTGTGCCCTGACCGGGAATTGAACCCTGACCTCCTGGTTCCTAGGTCGATGCTCAACCACGGAGCCAGGCCGGCCGGGGCTAGCCTGTTTACTTTTATTTTATTTTTTATTTTTTTCTTCTTAAAATACATTTTGATTGATGTCAGAGAGGAAGGGAGAGGGAAAGAGAGAGAGAGACATCCATGATGAGAGAATCATGGATCGGCTGCCTCCTGCACGCCCCCCACTGGGGACGGAGCCCACAGCCCGGGCATGTGCCCTTGACCGGGAATCGAACCCAGGACCCTTTAGTCCGCAGGCCGACGCCCTATCCACTGAGCCACACCAGCCGGGGCTAGTCTGTTTACTTTTATTTTATTTTCTTAGCCTGTTTACTTTTTTTTTTTTTTTAAATATATTTTATTGATTTTTTACAGAGAGGAAGGGAGAGGGATAGAGAGCCAGAAACATCGATGAGAGAGAAACATCAGCTGCCTCCTGCACGCCCCCCGCTGGGGATGTGCCCGCAACCAAGGTACATGCCCTTGACCAGAATCGAACCTGGGACCCTTGAGTCCGCAGGCCGACGCTCTATCCACTGAGCCAAACCTGTCTGGGCTAGCCTGTTTACTTTTATTTTACTCCCAATGATAGCGTCCGAGCCAGCAGAAGAGAAGACAGGTGCTCTGAGCCTGAGTAAGAAAGCACGACAAACTTATAAAAGGCACGAAGGGCAGGAAAAACAGCCCTGCGGCTGCAGAAAGCCCCAGAGTGTGGGCTTCTGCCCAGGAAGTGCACACCCTGTAACCCAGCGCGCGGTCGCTCCACACACCCCCCACCCCCGCCACCCCCCGCACCCCCGGGCGCCGCTGCATTAAAGCGCTGCATCCTCAGAGCCCGGGAGTAAACTCAGGCCCCTGAGGCCCCTCCGGACAGAGGAAGAGCAGAGGGGGGCAGAGACCGCCCCTCCCGTCAGCGCTGTGCGGGAAACTCGCCCCTCACCAGCCACTCACGCACAAGAGTGAAACTAGACCCCCTCTGACACCAGACACCAGAGCAAACCCAAAAGGCCCTGGCCGGTGTGGCTCAGTGGGTAGAGCGTCGGCCTGCGGACTCAAGGGTCCCGGGTTCGATTCCGGCCAAGGGCATGTACCTGGGTTGCGGGCACATCCCCAGTGGGGGGCGTGCAGGAGGCAGCTGATCGATGTTTCTCTCTCATCGATGTTTCTAACTCTCTATCCCTCTCCCCTGCTCTCTGTAAAAAGTCAATAAAATAACTATATATTTTTTTAAAAAAAGAATAAACCCAAAGCAGATTGAAGATTTAAGTGTAAGACCTGGAACCGTGAAACTAGGAGAAAAACGGGCAATCAGCTCTGACGTCGCTCTTAGCAACATTTTTTTGAGATGTGTCTCCTTGCGCAAGGAAAACAAAAGAAAAAATAAACAAACGGGTCAGACTGGAAAGTTTTTTGCAGAGCGAAGGAAACGCGACAAAATGCAAAGGAAACCCGAATGGGTTCTCTCTCATCACTGATTCTCTCTCTCTCTCTCCCCCTCTCCCTTCCTCTCTGAGGTCAATAAAAATATGTAAAAGCAAACAAACAGAATAACTGAGCAAATGAAACAAGCAGACTTCTAGAAGGGACGGGCTCCAGGCGCCTCCCCCGCGCCCGCGGCCTGGCCGTGCACAGCGCCACCCGGCGGAGAAGCGCTGGCACCCTTGGGGTGCTGGGCTGTCGGCACAGGGGCGGGGCCGGGAGCCCCCTGGTCTCCCCTCATCTCTCCATTGACTAGAACCCCAGGCGGCTCAGCCAAGGGCTGAGGGCTGAGGGCACAGATGTGTCTTCCTCCAAAGCTTGACAGCCCGGCGGGGCCGGGCCACGGAGGCCACGAGGCGGGAGGCCACGAGGCGGGAGGCCACGAGCACGCGCCACGCGGGCCACTCACCCCGAGGCCTCGTCCCAGTAGTAGTGGCTGCGGCCGGGGACGCTCTGCTCCAGCTTGTCCATCTGCAGGGTCCGCACGAAGGTGCCCGTCTTGGACGTCTGCTTCAGCAGGCGGTTGTGCACGTCCGAGAGGATGGAGAAGGTGGTGCCCCGGGGGTAGCAGAGCCCCACGCGGATCCAGTCGCCCCTGGCAACGGAGACGGAGTTAGGGTACCTGCTAGCCAGCCTCGGGGCACCTCTGGGCCGTGGAGAGCCCCCAGCGGGGCCGCCTCCCTTTCTGGGGTGGGGGGTTTTGAGGAGCAGGTGCCGTCCCAGGAGAGGGGAGGACCATGCAGGGAGGATCATGCAGGGAGGACCATGCAGGGTCCCTGGGGCGCCTCCAGGGCCGACATCGGGCCCCACCCAGACCCGGGCTGCACAGACATCCTCTCCACCGGGTGTCAGTGCAGGCGGAGGCCCAGGGTCCGCCCCTCCCGGCCCAGCCTGACCGCAGGGCCCCGGCATGGCTTTGGGGCTCTTCCCCGCATCCCACACATGCCTGCCTCGCAGGACTGCGGCATGGAAGATGCTCAGACGCAAAAACGCACAGAAGACCCCATCCTGCCCCCCCCCCCCAGTCGGCCCCGGGCCCCAGAGCCCCTTTCCCTGCGTGAAACGTCCTGGCCAGGCATGTGTCTGCCTTACGTAACCGGAGCGCTGCAGGCGGGTCCTGGCAGAGAGCCTGTTGCAAGTGACCTCCCTGCACCCGCTGCACCCTGTGGGTGTCACGGGCCCCGCCTCCCGGACAAAGGGACTGGGGCTCCCAGGGTCGGACGCCCGGCCTGAGGTCACCCCCACCCCCAGCTGGGACTGGGCCAGGTCTCCAGGCTGAGCTGCTGGGTGACAACGGGCCCTGTGGTGCTCCCCCTGCAGGGGGCGTGGTCTGTTCTAGGCCCTGCAGGGGGCGTGACTGCTTGAAGCCCTGCAGGGGGCGTGGCCTGCCCTGGGGGCGTGACCAGGCTGAGGCCCTGAAGGTGGCGTGGTTCCCAGAGGCCCTGGAGGGGCATGGCTTCCAGAGGCCTGCTGGGGGCGTGGCCTTCCCTAGGGGGCGTGATCAGGCTGAGGCCCTGAAGGGGGCGTGGCTCCCAGAGGCCCTGGAGGGGGCGTGGCCTGCCCTGGGGGCGTGACCAGGCTGAGGCCCTGAAGGTTGGCGTGGTTCCCAGAGGCCCTGGAGGGGCATGGCTTCCAGAGGCCTGCAGGGGGCGTGGCCTGCCCTGGGGGCGTGACCAGGCTGAGGCCCTGAAGGGGGCGTGGTTCCCAGAGGCCCTGGAGGGGGCGTGGCCTGCCCTAGGGGGCGTGACCAGGCTGAGGCCTTGCAGGAGGCGTGGCTTCCAGAGGCCTGCAGGGGGCGTGGCCTGCCCTAGGGGGTGTGATCAGGCTGAGGCCTTGCAGAAGGCGTGGCTTCCAGAGGCCCTGAAGGGGGCGTGGTTCCCAGAGGCCCGGAAGGGGCGTGGCTTCCAGAGGCCTGGAGGGGGCGTGGCCTGCCCTGGGGCGTGGCCTTCCTGAGGCCCGTCTCCCTGCCCTCCCGGCCACGCCCCCTCACTTGTTGAAGTTGATGAGCCAGATGGCGAGCTCGGCGGGCGCCGTGCGGTCCCAGTGGATGGTGTAGCCCTTGCGCAGCGTGACGACCGGCTGGTACTGCTGGTAGTGGGTGCTCCTGGTCAGCGCGCCCTCCAGGTGCAGGGGGCGCCCCGGGAAGTCGTTCTTGACGATCTTCATGCGCAGGTTGCTGGTCCTGTAGGCCTGGATGTACATCTTCTCGGACCCAGAAAGGAAGCGCACAACAGGCCGGTTACCAGGGATCCCGCCAGGGGCGAGGGGGGAGCCTCAGCCTGCAGCCCCGCTTAGACCAGGGGAAGGGGCGGCCAGGTAAGGGGTCCCCTCGCCTCGCAGCCCACGCCGCACAGCGCACTCCAACCAAGGCCTGAGCATCTTTAAAAAGGGCTGGGCTGCCGGCCGGTGTGACTCAGTGGGTAGAGCGCCGGCCTGCAGACTGAAGGGTCCCGGGTTCAATTTCCAGTCAGGGCACAGGCCCGGGTTGCGGGCTCCATCCCCAGTGCGGGGTGTGCAGGAGGCAGCCGGTCAGTGAGTCTCTCTCACCATGGATGTTTCTCTCTCTCCTTCTCCCTGTCCCTTCCTCTCTGAAATAAAAAAAATGTATATTTTAAAAAATTAGCTCCCACCGGGTGAGGAGGAAAAGAAGGAAGAAGGAAGGAAAAAGGATGAGGAGCCTGTGTCCTCAGGCCCCGCGCAGAGCCCGGCGTGCAGCGGGCACTCCATGCTAGTCCAGGCGTGCGCGAGCCCAGGCCGCAGGGCGCTGTGCCAGCATGTGCCCCTCTGTGCGTGCCCCCCTGTGTGTGTCCCCTGTGTGTGTCCCCCCTGTGCCTGCCCCTCTGTGTGTGCCCCCCTGTGTGTGTCCCCTGTGTGTGTCCCCCGTGTGTGTCCCCCGTGTGTGTCCCCTGTGTGTGTCCCCCCTGTGCATGCCCCGCTGTGCGTGTCCCCCTGTGTGTGTCCCCTGTGTGTGTCCCCCGTGTGTGTCCCCTGTGTGTGTCCCCTGTGTGTGTCCCCCCTGTGCATGCCCCGCTGTGCGTGTCCCCCTGTGTGTGTCCCCTGTGTGTGTCCCCTGTGTGTGTCCCCCTGTGTGTGTCCCCTGTGTGTGTCCCCCCTGTGCATGCCCCTCTGTGCGTGCTCCCCTGTGTGTGTCCCCTGTGTGTGTCCCCCCTGTGCATGCCCCTCTGTGCGTGCCCCTCTGTGCGTGCCCCCCTGTGTGTGTCCCCTGTGTGTGTCCCCCCTGTGCATGCCCCTCTGTGCGTGCCCCCTGTGTGTGTCCCCTGTGTGTGTCCCCTGTGCGTGACCCCCGTGGGTGTCCCCCTGTGCGTGCCCCCCGTGTGTACCCCCTGTGCGTGCCCACCTGTGCGTAGTGCCCGCTGCAGATGGCCCCCCGCCAGTCGGGGACGTCGATGCAGTCGGGGTGCCGCAGCAGCCAGTTGTCGGCCTTGGTGAGGTAGGAGCCGGGGTACTCGGACACGGAGCCGTCCACGTCGTGGAACACCGACGTCTTGTCGCCGTCCATGTCCAGCTGGTTGAACCAGGGCCCGGGCTCCCCGAAGAACACTCTGGACGTGATCTGCCAGAGCCAGAGCCCGGCATCAGGGGGCGGGCCGGGGAAACGCGGGCGGACCTCGCAGACCGCGCCCCCCGCCACCCCCACACCCAGCCTCTGGCCTCTGCTCATGGGAGGGGAGGGCGCTGGTTCCCGCTCACAAGGCTGCAGAGCTGGGCGGGTATGCAGGGGCACGCGTGTGCGTGTGTGCGTGTGTATCTGTGTGTGATTGCATGTGTGCATCTCTGTGTGCACATGTGTGTGATTGCATGTGTGTGCATGTATGGGCATGTGTGTCTGTGTGTGCACACGTGTGTGCATGTGTGGGATGTGCATGCATGTGTGTGCATGTGTGCACATGTGTGCATGAGTGTATCTCTGTGTGCGTGTATGTGTGATTGCATGTGTGTGCATGTGTGTGCATGTGTATGTCTCTGTGTGCGTGTGATTGCATGTGTGGGCATGTGTGTGCACGTGTGTGTGCATGTGTATATCTCTGTGTGCATGAGTGTATCTCTGTGTGCGTGTATGTGTGATTGCATGTGTGGGCATGTGTGTGCATGTGTGTATCTCTCTCTGTGTGTGATTGCATGTGTGGGCATGTGTGCGTGTGCGTGTGCATGTGCGTGAATGAGACCGAGGCAGCAGAGAATGTTTGCAGGAGGCGGTGTGTGCACCCACGTGGGTGGGAGGGCGCAGGCTCTCCACGCAGCCGTGGAGATTTCCGTGACTGGCCTCTTTGGGGCCCGAGCAGCCTGAGTAAAGGAATTAGCTGACTCCAGTCGGACATCTTTCCCCTCCGCCTGCCCTGAGCGCGCAGACAAGCCAAGGGCAGGAGCGGAGGGGGGAGGGGGAGGGGAGGCCTGGGAAATCCACAACCAGAGAGAGAGAGAGAGAGAGAGAGAGAGAGAGAGAGAGAGAACGCCCGCCCCAGGAGGTCCGGCCCTGCCTAGTCCCCGGGGGCACCCGGCCTGATCTCATCACCAGGCCGCTCCTTGGCTGTCTGTGGCCAGGAGGCCCTGCTCTCAGCGGGGGACTGAACACAGCAGCTTCAGCAGAGATCCCTCAGACACTGCAGGTTTTTAAATTAACTGCGCCGCCTGGCGTGGCTCCATGGTTGAGCATCAACTAGGAACCAGGAGGTCAGGGTTCGATTCCCGCTCAGGGCACACGCCCGGGTTGAGGGCTCGATTCCCAGTGGGGGGTGTGCAGGAGGCAGCCGGTCCATGATTCTCTCTCATCATGGATGTGTGTGTCTCTCTCTCCCTCTCCCTCCCTCTCGGAAATCAATCTATAATAATAAAAGCGTCATATGCTAATTAGACTGGACGTCCTTCCGGACGACCTTCCAGATGAAGCTGGGGCTGCGAGGGAAGCGGGGGCCCTGAATGCCTGCCGGTGGCCGGAGGGGAGCCCGGGTCCCGGGTGCCGGAGGGACGCCGATGCCGGCAGCCGGGGGACGGAAGGCCTGCTCTTGCACAAATTTCATGCACCAGGCCTCTAGGAAAAATATATTTAAAAAATTAAATGAACTGGGCCAAACTCAGGTGGCCCAGTCTCGGGACTCACAGGACAAAAGCCAGGCGCCCGGAGCAGCCGCCTCCGACGCTGGCGCCCAGCGCGAGGCTCCCGCTGAGGCCCATGAGCCCTGGGCAGGGCAAGGGCAGTGCGAGGCCAGCAGGCACCGACCCCGGCCTCGCCGGCCGGCCCCCCACGCTTGTACTTTCCCAGTCTGGACGCAGCCAGAACGGGGCCGCGGTCCGGGCTGCCCGGAGGAGGCCGCTCAGACCCTGCGGTGAGTCACGGCCGGGGCCTGGGCAGCTGGGCGCGGGCCGGCGCCTCGCTCACCGGGACGTCCTCGAAGGTGACATGGGACACGTTGTTGTGGGGGCAGCTCTGCCAAGCGTTGTTCAGGCGGAAGGCCAGGGCGCTGGTGTGCCGGCCCTCCAGGGCCGCGAACTTGCGGAAGGTGCAGTTCTGGATGTTGATGGGGCCGTCGTAGAACTGGATCCCCCGGATGGGAAAGTTCCTGGGGGGGCGGGCAAGTCAGCGTCAGGCGCGTCGCCAGGTCTGCCCTCCCGTGGGTGCCACCGGGGACCTGCCAGGCAAACGAGGCCTGACCCCCGCCCCCAGCAGCTCCCCCTGCATAGCACACGGCGGGCTCATTCGTTAGCTCACGGGGAAAGCGTTCAGGGACATAGTGTCAGTCAGTGATGGCTGGATGATGAATGGATGGATAGATGGATGGATGGATGAATAGATGATGGATGAATGGATGAATGGAAAGATGATGGATGGATGGATGATGGATGGATGGGTGGATGGGTGAATGGAAGGATGATGGATGGATGGATGAATGGAAGGATGATGGATGGATGATGGATGGATGGATAGATGATGGATGGATGATGGATAGATGATGGATGATGGATGGATGATGGAGAGATGATGGATGGATAGATGATGGATAATGGATGATGGATGGATGATGGATAGATGATGGATGGATAGATGATGGATAATGGATGATGGATGGATGGATGGATGGATGATGGATGGATAGATGATGGATAATGGATGATGGATGGATGATGGATAGATGATGGATGGATAGATGATGGATAATGGATGATGGATGGATGATGGATTGATGATGGATAGATGATGGATGATGGACGGGTGGATGAATGGATGGATGGATGATGTATGATGGATGGGTGGATTGATGGGTGGATGGATGGTGGATGGATGATGGATAGATGGTGGAGGATGGATGGAAGGATGGATGGATGATGTATGATTGATGGGTGGGTAGATGGTGGAAGATGGATGGAAGGATGGATGGATGATGGATGATGGATGGAAGGATGGATGATGGATGGATAGATGATGGATGATGGATGATGGACAAAGAGATGAATATCTCTCTAGGTGCTGGCTTAGGGCTTGGGGGATCACCCTCTATTGCAAACCTATCCCCCAACATTTCCATCCTGTGAAGAGTCACTGGGCAAACACCGGCAACACCGCCAACACCGTGCCCCGTGGGGAGGGAGAGCCATTCGTCACGGCCGCCTCAGGCTCACTTGCTACAACAGTTTAATCAGATGAGGCCTGGGGTGCATTTCCTGTCTGTGAGCAAGCCTTTCGCTGGGGCGCAGGCTGGATGTGGGGGACAGAGGAAAGCTGGCAGGACCGTGACTGCCAGGGGACCCCAGAACGGCCCAGATCCCCAGGAGGCAGGAGGGGACGCAGGCGTGGCCATGGAGGGAGGGGGTTGGAGTAGGACATTTTGCCTCGAGCCCAGTGGGGGGCAGGGGGGAGGGACCCTCTCCAAGTGCCTCGGGCTCCTGGGCCGGGGCAAAGGGGGGCGAGGTCCTACGAGGGCCCAAATCGAGGCCTGCTCATTCTCCAGGCCCCATTTTTCTGCTTTTACTGCCATCTCCACCCCTGGGCCAGGGCCCTCTCCCTCCACCACGAACAAAAGAAAGGGCAGGAAGACAAACAAGAACGCAGACGTGCATGTCTCGGGGGAGAGGCCACACCCAGCTGCCCCCCATCCTCACACCGGCCCCCCCTCCGCGCAGACACGGCTCCCGGGGGACCCTGCGTCACCGGGCTGGGCGAGGTGGCGTCAGCGGACGCCAGGGACCGGGCCTTTCTGCATTGTTCTATTAGCGGCCGATGAACGTCACGGCCGTGAGTCCTGACTGCCGGGGGCGGCCCGGGCCTGTGTCCATGGAACGCACTCCGGGACAGCCCGCTCTCCCTGCAGACCCCAGCTGGCCCAGACAGGATGAATCAGCCGTGATCCGGGCTGCACGTCCCGGGTTCCAGCTGCACTCGCAGCCCGAGGCCCACAGAGGAGCCGGACGCGCAAACCAACGCACGGGTGGGAACCGTCGCCGTCGGCGCGCCCAGGCCCGGGAGCCAGACACTCAGCCCAGAGCCCGGCCGTGCAGACCCAGAGCGGCTCCTGTAACAGCCCGACCAGGGCCACCTCGAGCCCGTGGTTCTTTCTGCAAGACCTTTTCTTTCCTTTTTTAAAAACAGATTTTGATTGATGTCAGAGAGGAAGGGAGAGGGAGAGAGAGAGAAACATCCATGAGGAGAATCACGGACCGGCTGCCTCCCGCACGCCCCCCACTGGGGATGGAGCCCGCCACCCGGGCCTGTGCCCTGACCGGGAATCGAACCCTGACCTCCTGGTTCCTAGGTCGACGCTCAGCCACGGAGCCACGCCGGCCAGGCCACAAAATCTTTTCAAACACACAGGTGCCCCACGGATGGGGGTTAGACCTGCGTCCTGCAACGCAGAGCCCGCGACTCCGCAGGCCGCCCTGCTGTGCTGCCGCGGGACACACCTGATGCTAGAACATTCTCTCCGGCACCACAGCCGCTCTCCCCGCAGGGCCCACTAGGATGGGTGTCGTGGGTGCAGCTGGGCCGCCCTGAGGATACCTTCCGGGTGGAGTCCCGCCTGCCGGGGGAGACCCCCTCTGCTGTGACGCGGTTTGGTTGGGTCACCTCCTGTTCCTCCCTCGTGTGCGCTGGGGCCTGACTCTCTCTCTCTCTCTCTCTCTCTCTCTCTCTCTCTGTCTCCACCCTCAGAAGGGCATGACCTGCTCCCGTGGGCACGTCTCAGGAGACAGAACCCTTGCTGATCCTGACAACAAATTCCTATCGATGTACCCCTGGTCAGTGTGGCTCAGTGGATAGAGCGCCAGCCTGCGGACGGAAGGGTCCCAGGTTCTATTCTGGTCAAGGGCATGTACCTTGGTTGCAGGCACATCCCCAGTGGGGGGTGTGCAGGAGGCAGCTGATGGATGTTTCTCTCTCATCGATGTTTCTAACTCTCTATTCTCCCTTCCTCTCTGTAAAAATCAATAAAATATATTAAAAATAAAATCCCTATCGACACAGCCCAGAGCCACGCCGCCTGCTGCCTCCCCTCAGCAGTCCTGCCTCCCCTCTCACGTCGGGGCCCCGCGGCGCTCAGGGTCAGCCACGTGGCAGGAGGCAGCCGCCGCCGTGGGCGCCAACCTACTGGCCGATCGGCAGGGTCCTCCCGCTGGGGTCCAGGCCGCCGGGGCCCCAGATCCTGCTGTCCATCATCTTGGTCCCCACGTTGCCGCTCTCGCCCACGAACAGGCTGTTCTTGATCTCCTGCTTGGAGCCATCGTCGTAGGGGAAGGTCCCGCCACTGCAGGGGGGTGGGGTGGGGGGGAGAGGGTGTCGGGGTGAGGAGGCCGCGGGCAGCTTCCCAGGGGGCCCGGCGCCCGGGGACAGGTGCTTGCTTACCTGGCCAGGGTCAGGCCGATGCCATTGTCAGCGAACCTGGGGACAGAGGCAGACAGTCAGAGCGTGCTAGCTGGTGTGGCTCAGTGGGTAGAGCCCGTGCTCTCCTTGCCCTGCACCCCACTGGGCCCCGGAGCCACTGCAGCTACTGTGAGGGTTGGGGGGGGGGGTCTGGACCTGAGCTTGGGGTTCCCTGAGGGAGCTGGGATAGCTCAGGCCCCTCCCACTCAGCCTGGCTCCACGGAGGATGAGTGACAGCGTGTCCGGGCGTCAGGCGTGGGGAGGCAGCCGCCCTGGGGGCTGCGTCTCCAGCCCCCTCGCCGGCTGGTGGAGGCCGCACCAGGGCGCGTGCAGGGCCTGGCTCCTCGCCAGATCGGGATGGGGGTGCAGGCCCTTGCCAGCTTCTCCTTGTCCCTGCACCCCCAGTGCTCGGCCTGTGGTCGCCCTCCCCGTCCGCGGGGCCCCGGGGCCTCACAGACACTCAGGGCTGTGTCCCCCCAACACACACACACCTGCGGGGGGGGCCTGGGGAACTGGCCACTCCTCCCGCCTGCTTTTCCCAAGCCTGGGCCTGTCCGCTTCCTCTCTCTCCCTCGCCCGTTAGGGTTCCTCTAAGGCAGCGGTTCTCAACCTTCCTAAGGCCACGGCCCTTTAATACGGCTCCTCATGCTGTGGGGACCCCCAACCATACAATTGTTTCCGTGGCTACTTCATCGCTGTCATGTTGCTGCTGTGATGAATCGTCATGTAAATACCTGATATGCAGGATGGATTTTCATTGTTACGAATTGAACATCATGAAAGCACAGTGATTCATCACAGAAACAATATGTGATTATAGATGTGTTTTCCGATGGTCTTAGGCGACCCCTGTGAAAGGGTCGTTCGGCCCCCAGGTTGAGAACCGCTGCTCTAGGGGTCACGGGGGAGTGGGGCAGCACGGTTCTGTCCTGGGAGCCTGTCCCTTGGCTCTGTCCTGCGGGGGCTGCACGCCGTCCACGGGACCTCGCCCCCCAGCTCCCTTCTCATCGGCCTCCGGGGCCGGGAGCTGCGGTTTCGGGTCGCAGGCCAGCACCTCCTGGTTTAGGGGGATTCGCTAAGCCCAGCCTGGGGACCCTCCCTGAAATAAAGTCGGCAAGCTCGACCTTTGAGAGTCAGTGTAAGAAACGAAGGCCACCGAGGAGGCAGCACACAGTGGGTGCCTTTGAGAGTCAGTGTAAGAAACGAAGGCCAATGAAGACCCAGCACACAGTGGGTGCCTTTGAGAGGAGGGTAAAAAACAAAGGCCATCGAGGATGGAGCACACAGTGGGTGCCTTCTCTCCACCTTCACGGGCTGGCTACGGGCCTGAGAGGGCCCCGCCCAGTGAGGACCTGGAGGCCAGTCGTGACCCCAGCACCTGGCACTGGGCCGAGGCTGCTGGGAGGGGCTGGGGGCCAGGCCTGCTGCCTTCCCCGCCCCTGCCCGGCCCTGGCCATCCCTCCCTGCCCTGAGCTGCTCGCTCCCCGCCCGGGCCAGGGGCTCCGTGCCCACTCGGTGCTGCGACGCCACCAGCCCGCTCACCGGCAGCTGTCCAGCCACACGTCCCCGCCTCGCAGCCATGCCCCGTGGTCCTGGTTCTTGTAGGCGGTGAAGTGCTTGATGATGGCCGGCACCCGGGGCTTCAGCGGGTCAGCGTCCTGGTGCGGGCTGTACCTGCGGCAGCACGGGGCGGGGGCACGGGTCAGAAGGGGCTCCTGCCTGGGCCCCCCTCACGCAGGTGGCAGCCGCGCCCCCTCTCTTGCCCATCAGCTGCCCGAGGAGCACCCCACCCCAGCGGTCAAAGGCCAGAGAAGTTCAGACATGCCAGCCTCGGGGCCAGGACGGCGGTGCCAGCTCTCCACCCACTGGGGTAACCTCGACCCCAAGCCTCAGCCTCTTAGCCGGAAAGCAGCTTGGGGCCCGGGCGCTCACTGGTGGGCGCCCCACAGATGTCATCACCGTGTCCCTGGGGTCACCTCAGAGGGAGCCCCGGCCACGGGGTCCCCTCACAGGGACCGGCTCCTCGGCACTGGGGGCCTCGGCGTGGCCCCGGGCCCAGCTGGCTCCTCCTCCTTACACTGCAGGGGACCTTCTTCCCTCTTTCCTTTCCACTCGGCCCCTCGCCGCCCGCCCTGCTGCCGCCCGGCCCATCCCGCTCACTGACCAGGGGCGGGTTTTTGCTGAACCCTACTGCACCCCTAATGCACCTCTAATGCTGACACCAAATGCACCCCTAATGCTTAAACCCTAATTCACCCCTAATTTACCCCTAATTCACCCTAATGCACCCCTAATGCTTAAACCCTAATTCACCCCTAATTCACCCCTAATTCACCCTAATGCACCCCTAATGCTTAAACCCTAATTCACCCCTAATTCACCCCTAATTCACCCTAATGCACCCCTAATGCTTAAACCCTAATTCGCCCCTAATTCACCCTAATTCAGCCCTAATTCACCCTAATTCACCCCTAATTCACCCTAATGCACCCCTAATGCTTAAACCCTAATTCGCCCCTAATTCACCCTAATTCAGCCCTAATTCACCCTAATCCACCCCTAATGCTTAAACCCTAATTCACCCCTAATTCACCCCTAATTCACCCTAATGCACCCCTAATGCTTAAACCCTAATTCGCCCCTAATTCACCCTAATTCAGCCCTAATTCACCCTAATGCTGACACCCTAATGCACCCCTAATGCTGACACCCTAAATGCTGGAACCTCACACTTGGCTCTGTTCGGATTCTCACCACGGTTCCCCCAGCAACTAGCTCAACGTGCAGGACACAGGATGTCTCCACAGACACCGGGTGACTGACTGAGTGAATGACGGTGAGTGGATGGGTGGTGGGTGGGTGGGTGGGTGGGTGGATGGGTGGATAGATGGATGGGTGGGTGGATGGGTGGATGGGTGGATGGGTGGGTGGATGGGTGGATGGGTGGGTGGATGGGTGGATGGATGGATGGATGAATGAATCGGTGGATGGATGGGTGGGTGGATGGGTGGATGGGTGGATGGGTGGATGGATGGGTGGATGGGTGGATGGATGGATGGGTGGGTGGATGGGTGGATGGGTGGATGGGTGGGTGGATGGGTGGATGGGTGGGTGGATGGGTGGATGGATGGATGGATGGATGGGTGGATGGGTGGATGGATGGGTGGATGGGTGGATGGGTGGATGGGTGGGTGGATGGGTGGGTGGATGGGTGGATGGATGGATGGGTGGGTGGATGGGTGGATGGGTGGATGGGTGGGTGGATGGGTGGATGGGTGGGTGGATGGGTGGATGGGTGGATGGATGGGTG